GATGATGAAATGCCGGACATCTTTGCCCCTCCAAAAAATCCGAAGTCATTACTTCTACCTTCAAACAGAGCACCTTGTAATACAAAGCTTCCTGAAGATTGTCACTATCAACCAGAGGATCTTGTCAAATTATTTCTTTTGCCCAATGTGATGGTAATGTGTGCCAGGAGTTAGATAATAAACTGGCTTTTTTTTGAAATGTTTTTCTCCCCATTTTGGCTTCTTTTCTTAAGATACTTGTTCTTTTGCAGTGCCTTGGTAGAAGGAGGAGAAAGTTTCCAGGTAATCATTCTTCTCAAGTAGATACCTTTCAGATAGTAGTCTTTTTTCTGAATGTCTGTGAACTGCCAATCATTCGAGTCCATCTATTCCATGTTGCTAGGATTATGTAGTTCTTGTCGTATTGCGCTAGTTGTTTCTCTAATTTTTATTCTCATATCATGAATGATGCAGCTCTTTCTTTTGTTTTCAATTATTATTAAGTTATGGGGAGAGGAAAGGAGAGGATAAGAGTTAGGCTGCTCTTATCTTCCCTGTTTGGAATACTTTCAAGGGGAAAGGGGCATATACATTCCTTGAAAGCCTGGTTTTTTAGTTCACCTAGGAGAATGTATTTATATTTTTTGTTGTACTCCTAACTTTTTGAACTAAAACTAAAAGTTTCCTCTGATAAAACGACAGTGTATGATGGTAAAATTTTTGAAGCTATTGTAAACTGTGCTTTCCAATCTCCAACCAAATGAAGATGATTAAGCACTCTCCCTTGTTTCATCTCGCACTGAATCCTCCTTAAGTGGGTTAGATGGGCGTGGGGATGTTGTTCCTGTAAAAATATTTCAGGAATAATGTCTAATAATTTTACATGATGGACAAGAGTAATACTTGTTTTTTTTAGTTAAATTAGTATGTATCAGGAATTACTTTCGTTATATCATTTTGTTTGTTATTTTATAACGTCAGTTCTTTAAATAAGTTTTAGTTAAAAGCTGGTTTTTACTGGCTACTTAGCTTTGTGAATTTAATGTCAAAGTTTATTCATTTGCCTGAATATTTTAAATATCTCAATTTGGTTATGATTTCTGATCGAAACTTTTTCTTCTCGACTCACGAATGCATTTCTGGAACTTCTTCGATGAATTCTTTGAAGTGTTCATCTTAATGGTTTCTTCCTGTTGTAAAAGTTCATCGATTGAATCTTTTATTTTCAATGTTTCTATTGATGATAAAATGCTAAACATTTACGGATATACTATGATATAGTTTTTAGCTTCACATGTTACTTGATTTCTCAGATGAATCAAGGGAGCAGTGTGATGATTATGAACCACAGCCATCCTGGGAAGAGCAAAGCATATTTGGCGGTCAATTTGACAATGATATTGATCACAGCGATGTTGATGACTCCGACATGCTTGTTTCTCAGCCTCGTCAGGTTGGTCTTTTAGCCTTTATCTCTGGTGTTTCTCCATGTTAGCCCCTTCATGTTGCCCACTGGAGTGACAAGGAGTTACGAGGACTATATTTTGAATTTATTGTTAATTAAAACCACAACGACTACCTTGAGGCCTGGGATGGGTTATTGGTAATTTAAGATTTATCTCATACCTTGAATATAGAGTTAAAAGCTATTTCCTTTCTGGTCTTTTTTCTGATCTTATTCAGGTTAGTAAAATTGAAGTTAAATATGACAAGACCTCTAAACAAGTTGATGTCCAAAATTTGAAAGAAACTATTTGGGACCAAATACATCGTTCTCCACAAACGTCTTTTCAGTGTCAGGTAAACTACTTCCTTTGCTTTTTGTAACTTTCTTTTCATCACAGAATATTGTTTTTCTTTTTTGAAACGCAAGCATAGTTATCTTTTAACATCATATTGCTTACATGTTAAGTGGGGTAAAGTCTCCATGACTATGCTTTGCCCGCACATGGAGGCACCCAAATGCATCTTTGCTTATTGGCAGTGCAAATACAGGAAAACTGAAGCAGTGAAACTCATTTTCTAAAATAATACGATAAAAGCGAGTATATCAGAGAGCTGAATCCTAGAGAATGTAGCTTAAAAGCATGTCATGTTTAATAAAGAAAAAAAATTGAAGCGGGATAATGAAATGAGAACTTGATCTGGTTAGCTAGAAGTTTGATTTCTTTCGTTGACTGATAATTTTAATGTTTCCATAGGCAATTAATTGTTGATCATTGGCAGCTTGAGTAAGTGTCTGCTATATGAAGATCTTGATAGTAACTTACTTCTTGCAGCTATATTTCCTATCTATAATCAAAAGAGAGCCCAGTTCCAAACCTTCATCAACAAGAACTCGTCTACTTATCATGGGCCTAGAAAAAAAGGAATCATGGAAGCAACATTTTAACTACTTCAACCCAAAGGCTTTACTAACTAAATTATAAAAAACATTTGATTTGGGCTTTACTAATTGAAAATTTTTAGTATTTTTTTTTGTTTCATGCTGAAATTAATAGTTTTGCTGCTAAAGAGTTGTAAAATACGTCAATAATTCAGAATATAAAGTAGCAAGAATTCAGGTTCTCTGAAAAGGCCAAAAAAGAACCATTATGTTGCAATGTTCCAAAGCAAGAACCATGACGTGATATGGAACATGGTACTTTGTTTTTGGCCGTGTTGTGTTTTTCTTAATTGTGAAGTGAGTTCTAACTTTGGACTTGTTTCCTTTTGCACAGGGCTCCGAAGAGATGGTATCTTTCAGGCATCTCCTGGCTAGCTTTCCCGTTGATTGCAGAGCTGCTACAACAATTGAGGAAATCTCTCCTCATCTATGTTTCATATGCCTGCTACATTTGGCCAATGAGCATGGACTGAGCATCCATGGCTGTCCCAATATGGATGATCTTGGTATTCAACTTCCTCACAACGGTAAGCGCACAAGTGAAGCGATTTAGTTCATCACTCAACTCGTACCGCTTGTAAAGATGTTTGTCAACGACTGGGGTGCTGACTGTGAGATACTAACAGTAGTGTTGTAAGCCTAATTTTGTTCATACTCCCAAGTAGGTTGCTTTAAAGACTGTATAGCTCAAGACTTAAAAGGAATTGCTGCTCCGTACCTCAGAAGCCTACATCCTTTCCAAACAATGTCGGTTTTTGTTGACAGCATATTGTTTAAATCTGGCTGATGCACCTTTTACGAAACAGAATCGGGCTAGTGCTACTTGAAATCTTATTTATTAGAATAAGAACATCGGAAAAATATGTACTCGAGATGCTGTTCACTGACATCTTACAGTTTATGTTAACGTGCAACTATTTGGGATTTGTAGAAAATTTTCCTCTTGATACTGAACGGAAGGGTCGTGATAAGTGGCTCAAATCTGAGATTTAGTCGGCAATATTTTTGCTAACGCGTGGCCTAACGGACAATATGAAAGATGAGTGCTTGGAGATACACTGATCTCATATTGATCAAAATATTTGAAAAGTCTTTGTATTTCAATGTTAAAATTATTATGTGACGTGATAGTATTATATTAATAATTTAAATTTATAATTTTAAATAAAAAAACTAAATTAAAAAAAAAAAACATCAACAACTTTTCGTATACTTTAACCCTCGCAATGTTACAGCAGTTCAGTTTCAAAATTGTCAACAATTAAATGTTGGAAAGAGATTTTGTCCTGGAGAATTTGGAAGGATACGGGGACAGTTCCCATGTGAACAGATACAACATCAATAATGTGAACAATTGCCATGTTTTTGAGAGAGAAAAAGGGAAGAACACGTGTTAAATTCGGATGTTACCGTCATGTCATGCGTCAGGTAATATGTCTTTTTTCGTCAGATATTTGCTCAAGGGAGTGGTGAAGATTGAGAAGGAATTCCTCAAACTCGCACAATGCGATTAGATTTAACACCTGCCAAATTTACCAAGACAATGGTTCATGATTCTTGCACAGCTGCTTTTAAAAGTACATTTAGGGTTTAGTCTTCAATGTGCGGGAAATAAGTAAATCCCCATCTCTGTATTTTAAAAGTAAAACGATTTGTTATTTCCATACGTTACTTCTCCTGCAGCTCATACTGTCTCTTTGGTAAGGGTTTGAACCTCCAGATTCCAGAAGCATTGGTCCCAATTGTGATAGAAAGAAAAAAAAATTTAAGAGTTTTGTGCATATACTTAAGAGTTAAAAGATCGATTTTGAGATCGCTGAGATTGGAGAATGAAAATTGGGTTAGCAATAAAAGTAGACGAACAGTTGGTTCTCGCAATATATAAACCTATCTTTTTGCTTTTGTTTTTGTTTTTTCTGGGCAATGATGATCATCTTTCTACTGACTCGTTTGGAATGCTGGTAGTGTATGAGTGAGTGATGTTTCTGTTTTGTTTTGGCTTTTTAGTGGTCACGTCTTTATATTTTTTTTGTGGTGATTCGTATTCAACAATATCCGATGAATTATTTCAAAAATTTTAAATTTTTTTTATTATATTTAATTATTATTTTATATTTTTATTTTAAATTAAATAATTTTTATAATTTATTATTGATCATGATTATTGATCAAAATATTATTTATTATTTTATATTATGTAATAGTATTGATATGTTGCAAAAATTATAATGTAATATGTTAATCTAATATTATAATATAATTATATAATATTTTTATTTTTTAAGTCAATATTATATCAATACACATGTCATAACAATTGATAAGTGATGATTTAAATAATAATAATTAATCAATCATTATTTATAAAAAATTATTTAATTTAAAATAAAAATATAATAACTTAATTAAACTTAATCAAATAATAAAAATATATTTAAACATTTTAAATAATGTAATATTTTTTAAAATATTATGCCTAAAAGCACAAATTAAATACTATGCCTTTGATAGAAAAATAATATACAAATTGTGAACAATAAAATTCTAATGATGCGGGTACGAGATTTCATTAAAAAAAGGTGAGTTTTGAGAAGAGTTAGAATAGAAATTAAGATACTAAATTTAAGATAGAGCAAGCATATTCTCTCTCAAGATTAAAAAATTTATTTAGCCCAAAATTTTGTCTGAAATCCGGAGAGTTTGACCACTTATTAAAATGAAAACTTTTATATGGTAATGAATGCAAGTATGCAAATCCAAACTTGTTTGATAATTGCACATCAGCCCTCTTTCCTCTCAAACAAAAAGTTCTCAATAGGCAAATAGAGAAGAAAAGAAAGTGAGACAGAGACTGAGTCTCACACTCAAGCCAGAGCTCCATGGCCATGGCCACCATGATGACGAGCAGAATGATGGGCATGTCCCCACCGCCAGTACCACCACCACCACATCATCTCATCTTCGCCGTTGGCAAGTCAGCCACGGTCAGCTCTATCATCAAGGCACAACCAACCCCCAACCCGTACAATCCCAGGATCCCACGGCTGGCCTTTGCTAGGACCAATATCCGACCGTCTAGACTACTTCTGGTTCCAAGGCCCGGACACCTTCTTCAGGTCAAGAATGGAGAAGCACAAGAGCGCCGTTTTCCGTACCAATGTTCCTCCAAGTTTCCCTTTCTTTGTGGGAGTGAACCCCAACGTTATAGCTGTTGTCGACTGCAGGTCTTTTGCTCATCTTTTCGACATGGAAATAGTGGAGAAAAAAGATGTTTTGGTAGGGGACTTCATGCCTAGCCTCAAGTTCACTGGAAATACCAGGGTTTGTGCTTATCTTGATACCGCTGAGCCAAAACATGCCCAGGTATGCTTTTTTTTCCTTTCTCTTTTCCTTTTAAATGTCCCTAATTGCAATTTTCTTGCTATATGTTCGATATTTTCCTCATTTCCCCCCGCAAATTAGAAAGATCTCAGCAAGCCAAGCATAGATTGACAAATTAAAACCTGCTTCAAGACTTAGGTAATACAAATTTATGTACATGCTTTCAGGGTTTTTTTCTTATTATTTTTTCCATACCTTTCCCCTTTTCTGCTTGTTTGTGGCTACGGGGTAAGCTTATGTGTGGGCGACATTAAAAACGATTTTGTGAGACTATAAAGTGGAAACTGGAAAGTAATAATTGGCGAAGAAGTGAGATCTTCTATCTCTTTGATAAGGTTTTGACTCTGTTCAATAGATATTTTTAATAATTTAATAATTAAAGAAAAGGAAGGAAGAGTCGGTTCACTCTCACTTCATAAGTGTGCGTAGTACTTTTGGTTTGTCATGCTATTAACAAAAAAAATTAACCTTTTTTTCTACTATATACGTATTTTATTATATTTGAGTATTTGATTTGTTGAATAGTTCTTACTTAAAAATGTAAATTCGAACGTGTGTATATATATATATATATATAGATATATTATAACAATCTTGTCGCCGAATTGGTAGTATAGGTCAAGGGACCACAAATTCATGGGTGGTCCTTCCTTTCTTGGCCATGAGCACTAGGGGATCAAGATATATAGATTCTCTATCTCCTCTTTGGATCTTGGAAAATGGAGAGGAAAAAAGTTCAAAAGGAAATTAGAAAAAGGAAGGAAAGTGAAAATACTACTTGTCATGGAGTTGAAATATGTTATATCATCCTATGGTAATCAGTAAACATTAGATATCAATCCCATCTCAGTTTAATTTAGGTTTCGAGAAATAAAAGGTAAATTGGAATGTATAGTTGAAGGAGGTGGCCATGGCCATACATATCCCTCAAAGGGTAAAGTTAGCACTTAAAGATGATTGAACAGTGGAAGATAGGCGAAGGGAAATTCTCAGACAGTGAAAGAAAGGGAATGGTGTGCACGTAGCCGCATGTCGGGAAGGCTTGAAACACCTGTTGGTGGGTTAGTCTTCATGTCGAGGAGGCCAACCACATGGCATGCATTCGGCCGATTTCCCCATCTCATATGCTACTGTTACACAGCTTTCTGCTTTTATTATAAGTTCAGAGTGGACAACTTAAGAAATACTAGCTTCTGTTTATCATCTTCTCATGTCCAAAACATGACTAAACTTACGAATTAAGAGGGGGATCATCCATTTTCATGCATATATAGTATATTTCTTTTAATGCAAGTTATATAATATAAACAAATGAAAATGTAATATGTGTTTGTAATTAACCAAAAAAAATTTACAATTCACTTTGGAAAAGTTAAAATTATGTTCGAAAGTAGGCTACTTTAAATATTTACTCAAGAACGTAAAAGGGCGAAGCCTAGGACTTGGCCTTGATAAAGGGAAAAACCTGGGACTTCCAAAACATTAATGATTATCGTAGTTGTTTGTAATAATAATAATAATAATAATAATGATTTTAGTGCTAATAAAATTGTTTTTTATCTTCAAAAAAATTGTTTTTGTTTTTTAAATATATGGCGTTAATGCATATATGGACTAAAGCTTTGATTCGTCATACTCACATACAATTTGTAATGTTTAGAATATTAGGAATATAAACAAAGCTAACATGTAAAACTTTTTCCTGAGAGTTGTAAAATGAAATCAGCTATATTTCTTTTTTTTTGTTTGAATAGCAGCAATATTTCTATTTGTAGCATATTTTAATCAATTAATTAACCGCAACTGTTCCTTCTCATGGGACTTCGCACCTGTTAGGCTGTTTAGAAGAATGAAATGTGATTCAATGGTTACTTAATTGCTACGTCGTGAATAGGGGAGTTTATGAGTTGGATTTGGGTGGTTGAGTCCGACTTGGCTGAGGTCCATCCATTTTTATTTATTGAAATTTAATTTTTAAATATTTTTAAAAAATATGAATGTTGGGAAAGGTTATACAAAAACAATTTATAGTTTTAGTGGATTTTAAAAACCTTTTTTTTCTAGCAAAATTTTTTTTGGCTGTTTAATATAAATTAATCCTAACTAATTGATAGAAGTTATTATAATGCTAAAGAGGAGGAGAAAGAAATTAGAGGAAGAAGTGCTGATATTTAGGGTTAAGGGTTCCAAATTGATACCTTGGGATTGCTTCTAGGGGATTGTCGATTCTCAAGGTTTTTGGGGTTCTGTTGGTTATCGAAATCTTTCCTCCCATCTCTCTTATTTGCCCCTCGAGTGTTTGGCAGCTTTGAAGTGCGACATAAAAACTTATTTAAGCAAAACCATAAATCCTATCCCCAATAGGATTTTTCAAAATTGTCTTGACAAAATTGAACTCTTTCAATTTAGTTCTCAAGAGTTAATAGTTCTTTTCAATTAGGTCCAATTTAATCTCAATTTTATATTTTTACATGTACTGTTATATTGCATGTGATCCATTAAGTTCGTAATATGTTGGTATTATACATGATCAAAAATCCAAATCTAATAAGAATTAAATAAAAAAAAACAATTTGCATTGATAATCAATTTCTTTATTGATTAGTTTGTAGTAATAAGTCAAGATTGACATCTAGATAGTTGTTATGACTACTCAAATATTAAGAAGAGGGAAAAAAGTTTGATTTAATCTTTTCGTATTCAGTCTACTAGTGTAATTCAATCCTTCATAATCCAATAGCTTGATAAGGCATTGAACATGATGGAGTGCCTACTTCATAATGTCTTTATCATTTTAGTTCTTAAAGCGTACTCTTAAAACCTTAATGGAATTTGAAAAACTCATTCTGGAATCTTCATTCTATCTTGACTAAGGATTCTCTTGAGTTATAAGACATGCTAAGAAGCTACGAGATATCTCCCTTAAATCACTTTATGTATGCTTTATTGATTATTCATTTCTCTTCATGTGATTCATCTTATACCCAATGTGTATCCCATTGTACGTCGTTGACTAGGACTACTTAAGGTAATATCAAAATATGGCAATCTCTACATAAGATAATCTAATGATCTCAAGACTAAAGATCACTTACATGATTGTGACATGAGAATATTTTTATAGCTATTTTAGTAAAATCTTAAAATGTAATTATTTAGC